AGTAATGTAAATGACACCAGATTTATAGTGGTTCGGTCTATAACCAGACCTACATCCACTCCTCAGAGGCTCCCTCTGAGTATTGCACTAATACCAATAGTGTCTCTCCTTTTGCACCCACAGCAAGGCGGAGAAGCCTTTACAACACACTCTTTTCACCACTCCCCGGTGCGGTAGAGAACCGTCCGTCCTTTTACACAAAACCCAGTGTTGCAAAGAACCTTTCGTCCTTTCACACTCTCCTAGTATGGGCAGAGAACCCTTCGTCCTTTCACACTCTCCTAGTGTGGGCAGAGAACCCTTCGTCCTTTCACACTCTCCTAGTGTGGGCAGAGAACCCGATCTCCTTGACAAATCTTCTCATAAAAAATATAGAAGGAAGAAAGAAAAAGAGTGAAGTAATCTCAAATCACAAATATGAAATCTTACCTTTGAACACCAAGCGAAGACTTCACGCTCTAGTGGTAGAAATCCTTCTTTGAATGCTCTCTCTCACTCTCTCATTGACGCTTCTTTCAATAGGCATGAAGATCAATGAGCAAAAAGATTGGGTGGCAGTCTAATTTGGACTATATATACAAAAGACAAGAAACACTGCCCAAAAACCGCAAGTTTTCAATTATGTACGCAGTAGAACGTCCCGTACGATCGTGGATCATCCCGGATGATTTTACTTAAAGTGTCGGAAACGATCCTAATGTATATTGGTACGAAATATGTTCGTACACGCTCATCGTCCCGTACGAACTAGGTTCGTCCGGTACGAAACGGTTATTTCATAGGTCGGTTCTCAAAATTCTGCAGGACGTAACCAACTGGGCTAAGTCGGTTTAGTTCGTTCTGGGACGAACGTGTTTCATCATGGGATGATTTTATACAGAGAGTTTCATCCAGGGACGAAGGTTTATTTCGTCATGTATGATCTCAAACAGAGAGTTTTGTCTAGGGACGAAGGTTCATTTTGTCATGTACTATCTCAAACAGAGAGTTTCATCCAAGTACGAACCATGCTTTTCGTCTGGATGAATAGTGCAAGGTGAGAATCCAGAGACTTTCGTCTCGGGACGAATATAAAATTCATTCTGGACAATTAGGACTTAGAAAAATTTTCTCCCAGTCTGTTCGATCCATTGCTCTTCCTAGGGGTTAATTGACATTATCGTCCCGAACAAACTAGATTCGCCCCGTACGATCAGTTCACAAGAGTGTGTGTTGTGATTTTTCACTCAATTACAATCACTCCCTCTCATTTCAAAACTTATAATTTATAAATGAATATTTGCTAAATTTGATTTGAAGTCTTCATCGCTTGGAGTTGATTTTCCTGAAATGTTAGTACACACTAGAGCAAAAATAAATCTTTCAAAAAGTGTTAGGAGATATATAAAACAATAATATTTGAAATCATCAAAATAATACAAGTTGTAAGAATGTAAAACATGCAAATAACAACTCTATCTATAGTGGGGGTTTTACATGAATATTTTATAATTGAACATCCCCAGCTATTGATAAATCTAGAGGGAGATAGGTGCCATTTTATTGCACTTGTGCTAGTGTCTGGGTCCTTGGTAGAAGTTGATGGATTTTGTTTTAAGATTCCTCCATTTTGCGAATACGGTCTTCCAATGATGTCACGATGTCCCTTCCCATTGCAGTTTCTCCCATCTGAGAAGAGAGCCAGATTTCTAGCATCCCTAATTCATTGATTTGTTCCTGGATTGGTATGTTCAAGTGGGAGGTTCCATTTGAGCGATTATTATACCTATTGACCATTGAATGGTTGTTAGTTTTGCTTAGAATCTTGAGATTAGTTTTCTCATAAACATGGCATCAAACTATTACATACTGATAAATTTGTAGTGGTAGAATGAGAGAGTTTTTGGTCTTAATGATGCACGAATATCGAGCACTCAAATAGAAAGTTAAGAGAGTAAGAGAACAACAAATTTTTGTTTTTTACGTAAAAATCACCAAAAGAGAAAAATCATGAGACCTTTCTCAGATGAGAAAATTCCACCGTACTTTAGTGAGTTACAAAAGTTGACTCACCCCTTAACTTGGAGACGAAGAAATTACAATAGTTTGGAGAGTCGGTCAAACTTTGTATGGGCACTCTAGAGTTTATAATGAGTGTGATTAGATGATGGAGGTCAAAATTCTAGTAGAAGTGATTAAAAGAAGGTCTAGCAAAGTTCGAGGGATGGATTGAGTTTCAGTGGTGACTAAATAAACCTAACAAAAGTCTGATGGCTATAAGTGATTAGGAAGAGGTCTGGCAGTCGAGCCGTGGTTCAATTGCAGCTAGGCAGAGGTCCAAGGATGGTCAGTGGCTGGGTGGCGGTCTAGCAACCAGGGGGAGGTTTGATAGTGGTCGGTCGGAGGTCCGGTGGTGGTTGGTGGTCGGGTGAAGGTTCAGAGGAGGTTAGCTATCGAGTGGAGCTTCGATAGTGGTCGGTCAGAGGAAGTTCGCCTATAGTGGAGCTTTAGAAACCTCAAAGCTCTCTACAATCTCAAGCCAAAATGTCTCCTTAATAAAGGGGAGTGGGAGGTTATTTATAGATTTTAGTGAGTGACATTCCCCATAATTATATGAGATGTAAGGAGCAAATCCAAAGCATTTCATGGGATGACACCTATTGATTCCCCTGATCATAGATCATTCATTTAACATTTAAGTACCTTAATGATGTCAAAATTGAGAGATCTTAAGCTCATTGAATTTATCTTGTCAAGTCGCTCGATTCCACTATAAGGTTGTCATATTTGGATATCATTTGATCATACAATTAATATTTTTAAGCTTCTAATGTGCTTCGATAATTCCGTAAGTATCAAATATCTAATTTTCTTTTGTTATTTATTTAAACTTTATTTAATTAAATAATTTGAGCAGTATATGATTAGCTTGAACGTGACTATTTATTTATGAATAAAGAGCCATACTTATAAAATCAAATATATTATCCTCCGTCTGTTTTAAATCAAATATATTAATAACTAATATACTTATATTTTATGGGCTCAATACTTATAAATAGGAGATTGTTCTATATATCAAAAAAAAATTTATGTATTGAAATATCTCATATTTAAATTTCTATATTTATTTACATAACATTCTAATATATTTCTTTTAGATAATTAATATTAGCTATATTTTAAAATAATTTAAAAATAATGATGTTAGATAAGTTTAAAAATTTTACCATATAAAATTATGAAAAAATTATGATTGAATATTCTGATAAAACAATTTCCCAAAAAAAAAAAAAAAATTCTGATAAAACTAATCATAATGATTTTAGAAATTTTAAATTAATTTAATTTATAAATAATTTGTATAATATTTTCTTATAAAAAACATTAAAAAAATTTCTGTGCTCACAGCAGATTAAAAATTTTGGCCAGAATTTTTTTTCTAAAAATTATGTAAATGAATGAAATTCGAAAAAAAAAAAGAAAAAACGGCTCGCACAAAACGTCAAAACCTCACTTAAAAAATAAAAAATAAAAAGAACTTAACGCCGATCATCCGATCAGTTCATAGAACTTAAGGCCGAAATCGAGCGCAGATTGTGTACTTTGTATGCTGCTGTGCATTTGCTCTACGCGGTCATCCAATATCTTCTCGCACACTCGGCTTTCCGCCATTTAAATGGAGGCTCTGCGTCCGTTCTACTCCTATTTCTCTGTTGCGCTCTCGCCCTCTGGCCCACTGGTGCGGCGCCGAGTCGCAGTACTGGCAGCTGCCGGATTTCCCAGCCATAGATACCGGAATTATGAGTGCTTGCGGCCGATGAGATGTGTTTTGAAGAAGAATAAGAAGAGGAGGTCGCTCCTGTTCAAAGAAACAGATGATCCAGGTAAGCTTCGGAGGATAAAGCGGTGGAGAACGGCAAGAAGGAAGGGCCTCTCCACCGTAATGAAACAGTTGATTTAGATGGTGTTTTTTTTTTCTTAAGAAGTTATTAATAAGAGCGTGAGTGGATATAGGAATGCAAGTACCCGCCCTTTTTTCCATTAAAAAAAATTTGTAATGGAAGATAAGATGCCTGATTTATTGTATTATTCTTATGTAACTGCCGTAAAATGTTTCATAATTATATCACTTTAAGCTGTAATTTTAAGCCACGTGATATATTTTAGTTTTAATACAACATTTAAAAATATATTGGAGTTGAAATTTTAAGTGGTTGGTTCTCATCATCATATGCTTAATCTTTTGGGTAGAAAATTGATTATAGCATTGATGTTATCTGGCCAGGTTTCTTTTTTTTTATAACTGATGGTATCACAGCTAATAATTTGGTTGAAATTGAGTGATTCATACACTTTTGATTTCCAAGACTCTTGGCTGAGTTTTTTCGTAGTTGAGTAAGGTTCAAGAGTAGTGGCGATTCCCATGATGTCTCCATATGGTTTTGTGAGCTCTTAGTTTATAATAATACTTATGTTGAAAAACTTTCATTTGAGGGGTAGTAATGGATGCTACAGAAAAAATCTCACTTAGGAACATGAAAGTTTTTATTTAGTGCTACTTAAGATAGTTGAAAACTATATTTAGAAACCTACCATATGTTTAAGATTTTAGGTTGAAAATATGCTTGATCAATGATGTATCTCGTTTGGGCTTGAACTAATTAGTGTATTTGTTAAGCACTAATACATTCCTCGGGATGCAAATACTATAAAAAAAATAAGGATAAGATTGGATCCACAAATCAAAAGAACAAGCTCAAGACAATAATTCAAAGTTTATAGTGTACACCCGGTCTAGAAAATGGTTTAAGGATTGGACCAACTCATGATTTTATTAGAAATAAACCTATAATATCAGGGTTATATTTGCATAATAGTTTATTATTATTTTAGATAACTTTTTCATTTCTTTTTACTTGTGCAAGCTTATAAATAAACCCTCCTTGCTGTAAAGTTTTCTCTCCCTCTTGTTCTCTTTTTCCTCTTCTTCTTCCTTTAGGAGTCTTCACCTACTCAAAAGGTGTCCTATCATTCTCGATTCAATCAAGAATCGTATCAAATTTGTCCTCTTGTTGAGACTAAATTCACATCTCCACCTCCCACCCCTGCCAGCTAGCAGTCTCCATCGCACCTGGCATTTATTTCAGCAGCCAACCCACTTCTCCTCCACAACTAGCTGCCCTGCTATCTTCAGTTTCGAAGGGAATCCCTCAGCCATCTTCATCTGTCAGCCTTAACCAATTGTCTTCAACTAGTAATCTTCGCTGGTCTTCAACCATTCTTCACCTTTCAAGAACCAGTCCAATTCATCCCAAAAGCTGCCTCCAGCTGCTATTCTTCAGAAATCTGCTAGCAATTATTCTTTTCAACACTCAAGAACCAGCTCAGGCATAAAAAAACTTGAGCTTCCATCAAACCGGTTCAATCATTGCAAATTATTCTTTCTTGAAATTGCAAATTATTCTTTCTTCTTTCAAGACACTATCTGGTTTCTCGTTCTAGATTTTTTTAACAAAGGCTACTGCTCTCTCTTACCCTAACCACCATTCTCCAAGAAATTCCTTGCTGTTTTGTGTTTTTCGGAACCTGTTCTTGGTTCAAGCACCATATCTTGGCTCATCTCATGCCTCAATTAGGCAACGACACCTTTCTAATTGGAACTCCACATGGTTTCAGCGAGCATTGAAGGATATTTGGACATTAATTCAAGATGAAGAATGCATACTTGGTAGAAGCATTATATACCATGCAATCCACTCATGAGTCACAATTTTCGAAAATTCAAAAATATCTACAACAAGCGGTTGCTCAATTTTCCTCCATCGGAATAGCATTATAACAATTTCAAGCGTATATGGGCTCCATTGGCATGTGTCTCTATATCCTCTATGTGGATCGTCCACCTTTTTTCCCATCAAGAATCTACACCGTCCACCAGGATTTTGGGATTTGCCCCCAGATTTCCATCTCAAGTGGATTTGCCCCAAATTTTAAAGTGCAAGAATATTTCAATTTTCATAATATTCTAGATTAGCACCTCGCAAGAATTACTTTATTTTATCTTGAAAGATCCACAACTACATGGTATCAATGGATTCACATGAAAGGCCAAATTTCTTCTTGGCCCGAATTTATGATATCATTACAACAACGTTTTGATATATCTTCCTATGAAGATTTACATGATAACAAACAACTTGAATTTAAAATTAACACAACAAGCATTTGTTCTTGAATAACAAACAACTTTTAAAAATCTTGCATTTAAAATTCTTATTCTTTCTAAATCTACCCTAATCATTTATTTTATTTATCGTCTCAAACAAGAATTGCGTAGAGCACACTTAGTAGCCAAACTGATTACTCATTTAGATGCCATGGATTTAGTTTGCCGCCACAAATAAAAATTTTAAGATTTTCATGCACTTTCTTCCTCACAATTGAGGAATTATTTCTATCGCTCATCCCAAACAAACCTACCCCCCTTCTTATATCTATAGGCCAATCATCTACCCGCACTTCCTCACCAAATTCCTCCTCAAAACCACCTAGTCTACACATCCACAAGCTTTGCTCTTTGGAAACTTAATTTCATCATGAGAAAGGCCTTTGTTTTAATTGTGATTCAAAATTCAGCCATGAACACCATTGCCCTAATAAATTTTATCTCTTGATGGGCACTGATGATTCTGATACTATAGATGGCAACCAACATTCACCTAATGACCTTGATTCACAAATTTTATCTCCGGAAATAAGTTTATATGCTCAAGATAAACAATTTAATGCACATTTTTTTTGTTTAACCAGTCATATTAATAAACATAATTCTCATATTTTGATTGATAGTGGTACCAGTTATAACTTTATTCATGAAAACATCGTTACCGAACTTGGCCTTCACCCCAAACCAATTAAATAATTTAATGTTTCCATTGGAAATGATAATTTACTTCTTTGCAATTCAAAGTGTTCCCAAGTTGCAATAAACATACAAGGGTATCCAACCTTTTTTATTTATTCATTCTCTCTATGCAAGGGGATCTTAGGTATGTAATGGCTTCAATCATTAGGCTCAATTTTAATTAATTACTGGGACCTCACCATGCAATTTTCTGATCAAATTTGCAACATCATTCTTCATAGAGAACTACAATTAATTGTTGATCCTATATTTTTGCATCAATTTCGTGCTTTAATACCATATTATTCATTGATACATATTTTTACCTTTCATTCTCATCTTCTGTGAGGATGAAGATCAAAAAGTATTTTTCTTAGAAGAAGATATTCAACAAAGGTGGATGAGATATTTTGCTAAATTTTTTAATGAAGAATATGACAATATGATTGACTGTAGTGACCTTAGCACTCTCAATGAAAATAAAGATTTTTATTTTTATCGGCGTATTAGTAAATCGATGTTAGAGTGGCTTTAAAGAAAATAAAGGGTGGAAAAACTGTTGGACCTGATGATATTCCAATAGAGATGTGGAAATGCTTAGGAGATGAAGGAATTTCTTGGCTTACTAAACTTTTTAATTCTGTTTTGAAGACAAAAGATGCCAGATGAGTGGAGAATGAGTATATTAAATTCCTATTTTTAAGAATAAAGGTGATGCACAAGATTGTGTGAGTTATAGAGGAATTAAGTTAATGTGTCATACTTTAAAACTATCAGAGCGAGTTATGGAGCGTAAGTTGCAGCGTGATACTAATATTTCTCAAAATCAATTTGGATTCATGCCCGGTAGGTCTACTATGGAAGCCATACATTTATTAAGAGGTTTGATGGAGAAATATAGAGAGAATAAGGAGGATCTACATATGATATTCATTGATTTAAAAAAAGCATATTATAAAGTTCCAAGAGAAGTGCTGTGGAGAGTTCTTGAAAAGAAAGGAGTTAATAATGCTTATATTCAAATCATTAAAGATATGTATGCAGGAGCTATTACTTGTGTTCAAACACAAGGTGGTTTGACCAAGTATTTACCTATTTAGGTTGGATTACATCAAGGATCAGGCTTAAACCCATATCTTTTTGCTTTAGTCATTGGTGTTCTCACTAAACATTTGCAAGAGGATGTACCTTGGCATATGCGTTTTGCTGATGATATTCTTCTTGTTGATAAGACTAGAGAAGGAGTTGAAGGTAAACTTGAATTATAGAGGTCAACCTTAGAGTCTAAAGGTTTTCGCTTGAGTAGATCTAAAACGAAATATATGGAGTATAATTTTAATAGTAATAGACCTAGTGAGGGGATTGTGACTTTGGGCGATCATGTCATTAATAAGAGTACACATTTTAGATATCTTAGATCTATTGTTCAGAGTGATGGTGAAATAGATGGGGATATTATCAGTAGAATTCAAGTTGGATGGTTGAAGTGGAGGAATGCATCGGGTTTGTTGTGTGATAGAAAAGTACCCCTCAAACTTAAGGAAAAATTCCATAAGATGGTGGTGAGACCTGCAATGCTTTATGGTGTCGAATGTTGGCCATTAAAAGAGAAGCATAATACTAAGTTAAGTGTTGCAGAGATGAGGATGCTCAGGTAGATGAGTGGCTTTACCCTTAGAGATAGGATACGAAATGAGCATATACGTGAATAGGTTAGATTAGCTCCAGTGGAAGATAATATTAGATAGAGTCGCCTTAGATGATTTGGTCACATAAAACAATGGCCTTCCGATGACCCGGTTAGGAAAATAGAGATATTAGATTTGACTTATGTTAATAAAGGTAGTGTTAGACCTAAAAAAACTTGATTAGAAAATATTAGAAATGATCTTTCTTTATTAGATTTAAAGGAGAATTTGACTTTTAACAGGACAATGGAGAAAAAAGATTCATGTAGTCGACCCCACTTAGTGGGATAAAGGCTTGTTGTTGTTGTTGTATTCTCATCTTCCATTTAATGGCAGTTAGCCTCCCAAAACTCTTGATTAATCACTTACATCTATCACTAAGACTTTATCTTATTTTATTTTTGATACATTACTACAATTTAAATATTTATTTTACCTCACACAAGGCCTACCACCTCAACATCCTATTGATCAATGTATAAAACTTCTTCCACTTTCCAAAACAATCAATATTTGTGATTTCCTCACTTTCAAAATGCCGCAATGAAACAATTAGTTAAAGAAATATTACAATCAGACATTATTCGTCATAGTCATAGTCCTTTCTGTAGTCATGTTCTCTTGGTTAAGAAGCATGATGGTACTTGGCATTTATGTGTCGATTATCACACACTTAATTCCCTAACTATTAAAGATAAATTTTCAATCCCTACAGTGGTCGAGTTATTAGACGAATTACATTGTGCAACCTTCTTTTCTAAACTTAACCTCCTTTACAGATATCATCAAGTTCGAATGCTCTCAAAAGACATCAAGAAAATAACTTTCCACGCACATGTAAGTCATTGTGAATTCTTAGTAATGCCTTTTGGCCTTACAAATGCACCTCTACTTTTCAGGCTTTAATGAATCAAGTCTTTAGTTCTTATCTTCACAAGTTCGTCATAATTTTTTTGATGATATTCTCATCTATAGTTGTACCCTATCTCTTCATGCGGATCACCTCCAATTGATTTTTCAAAGCCTACATTATAATCATCTCTTTTTGAAACTGACTAAATGTCAATTCTTCGAAACTTCAATTGAATATCTTGGCCATAACATGTAGCAATCCGAACATAGAATGAAATTAATAGCTGATCGTCATCTATGTGATTTACAATTGTTAGTAGGGGATTGGATTTTGGTTAAATTACAACCTTTTCATAAAAAAATTGTAGTTAATCGTACCTACTCCAAACTAGTCAAATATTTTTTTGGCCCCTTTCAGGTTTGATTGACATATCAATTAAATCTTCCTCCAGAAAGTAAGATTCATCCAGTCTTCCATATCTCTAACCTCAATCCTTCTTTTTGGCACTCCTCCTACCATTACACCTCTTCCTCTTCTTAGCCATAACAACCAACCACTAAGCTTACCTCATGCTATACTCACTACCCGCATTATCAAAATATATGAATAACCTTTTAAATAGGTTCTTTTACAAAGAGCACATTCTGCTCTAAATGATGCCCCTTGGGAGGATTTTTTAGCTATCTCCTCTTCTTGTCCATCCCTTAACCTTGGGGGCAAGGTTAGTTTTGATGGGGACGGGAGTGTTAAGCACCAATGCATTTCTCTGGATGCAAATACAATACAAAATCAAGGAGAAGATTGGATCGATAAATCAAAAGAATAAGCTCATGACAACAATTCAAACTTTATAGCGTATACACTTGGTTAAAATTATAACATTTGGGTTATTTTTGTGAACTAATTTATTACAACTGGCTCTCATTCTTTTCACTTATACAAGTATTGAATTTATTATTATTTAGACAACTGTAATTTAAGCTACGGAAATGAAATTCTAGTTTTCTCTCCCACTTCTTCTCATTTTTTTCTTCTTTTTCCTCTTGGAGTCTCCTCTTACTCAAAATGTGTCCTATCTTTCTTGATTAAATCAAGAAGCATATCAGTATCTAACCCATTTCCTTTGTACTCTTAAAACTTTTTGATTTATTTACATATTTTTCAGAGTTTATTTTTATTTACTTATCCATTTTAAATTTCCATGTGTCTGTGTTTGGTAATACAAAGGTACGTTACTTTTTATTCCCTATGTGCTCGTTTTATATACTTATGAGTTAGGGTTTCTTTTTAGTGTTTGTTTAACATTTGAATGAAAATTTTCATTTGGAAATTTGGTTGGCCCCTGTATCATTCTTCTGTGGTAGTGTGGTGCCTTGCTCCCCATGAAGGTAAGTGCTTCCAAGATTTAAATCATGCATGAGGACCATTTTCTTTGCTCAAGTTTAAGATATTTTATCTGTTAAACCTACTCTTTATTTTTTCCTTCATATTTTGGGTTTTATTCCCACTCTTCTCGTTCAGTTTATCATTTTGGTATTAAAGTCAATATGGTTCCTAGGATTTGAAATAGCTTTTTGCTGAATCTTATTTCGCGTGATTTTCAAATTTTTTTTTGAAAGCTTGTTGTTTTCCTAATCAAACCTTCTCATAATATTACAAGATTTGGTAACAACATTTCTAACATTATATCCAAACACCTCCAAATTTTGTGGCATGTAGAGTTCAATCAAGCTTCGTGCAAAAAAATTTCTCTTTTGCTATTATTGATATTTTAATGTGCTGTCTATTTTCTTTAGTTTCCATATCAAATCAATCTTGATTATGATGAGATTTGGACACGATGTTCCTAATATGTTGTTCTGACTCTCCTTCACATTTAATTGCAGTTTAAGTTCTCTTCATCCTTTAGCTGTTTCAAACAAGTTTACGTCTCGTTGTTGTTTCTTAAGTTTTTTCTTAAGTTCTTCCCTTTCTTACTAATCTGCAATACCTTTCCAAGCCTGCAATAAGCCCTTTCCATTCTCAACCCCACTTAAAAGCCTACCATATTTCCAAAGTCAAATTAGAACCATTTCCGTCATTGACTTGCCTCCACACATACCAACCTAATTAATTGAATTGAAATCATCTAATAAAATTAATTACTTTCCATTACATTAACCTTTCATTTTCCCATGAAGCTTTTTGTCTTTCTGTTCTCCAACATCAATTTCCCATCTCCCGAAACTAATTAACTACCTCACTTATTTCCTAAGCATTACATACATCTTTCCCCATCTAGCTTTAATCTTTTTTAAAATGCTCAAGTCAACATTCATTCAAACTCTTCACCAAAAGTGCTTGGGATGTGTGGACGGAGGATGATGTTGTTGAAAATCGTATCATTAATATTTGGGTTTCATAAATAACCATGATATCAATGCATGGTTCAAGAGCAAAATTGTGGGTTGTTATGAGCTTTGAACTCAAACATGGTGTGAGTGCATGGATGAGTTTAGCTCATTGCCAGCAAGCTACTGTTCATGCTTGTTATCTGGTTACCTAATATGTAGAGGATGTGCAAAGGAAGGAAGTGTTTTCTTACAATCTTGTTATGCATGCTTTGGTTTCATATAAGAACCTTGATAGTAGTACATGCTTTCATAACAAATTCTGTTAGTAATGCCAGAGTTACAAATAACCCAGACATGTTTCTTGGAATTTTAAGGACCCTTATCCTATATGCCAAGTTTTTAGGAATCTTAGTTGTTTTATTCACAAATAATAAACTATTATCCTTGTTTACAATGTTTTAAAATTATTGTCAATTTTGTACAAAAATATCAAATAAAGGGAAGTTTCTTCAAATTTTCCATCTTTTCTTTGACCTCAGTATCCATCACGATTGTTTGGTTTGCAGCACATTTGAAACTTTCTATCAACGTCCTATGTTTGATTCTTAATTGTTTTGGTAATTTTGTCAAACTTGCTTTTAGAAGAATCCAACTAAATGTATAGGGAACGTTGAAGTTTACATTCCAAGCGCTGCTGATGATGCTGGCACTGCAACTGAAACTTTTACTACTATTGAACTAGACGAAAGGGAAAGTAGTGAAGACAAGAAGCACACTATTGTGCAGCGTATCATTATTTTTGTAACTTCCGAAGCTGCTCCTTATTCGAAAACAGGTGGCCTTGCGGATGTTTGTGGTTCTTTACCCATTGCGTTTGCTGCTCGTGGTCACCGTGTGATGGTAGTGTCTCCAAGATATTTGAATGGCGTCTCAGACAAAAAATATGCAGCTTCTTTTGATACTGGTGTCCGAATAAAGGTTCCTTGCTTCGGAGATCAGCCAGAGGTTGGTTTTTTTCATGAGTACAGGGCTGGTGTTGATTGGGTAATTGTCTTTCCTCCATCTTTCAATATTTCATTTTCATATGTTATATATATATATATATATATATGTTTTGGCCGTTCTATTTGTTAACTTTTCCAAACTCTCAGTTTTTTGTTGGAACTTTCACTGTTTCTTCATTCTCATTCAATTGAGAAATGTATAATTGCTATTACCATGCCAACTATCTGGATTTTTATATTTTGCTTATTGTTTGTAATTTGCTTTAGTATATCCTTTTACCGTCTGCTTAATGTAAATTTTTATGTTACTTTGTCTCATAATTTATTGTTCAGGTTTTTGTAGACCATCCTTCTTATCACAGACCTGGGAACCCATATGGTGATGAAAATGGTGCTTTTGGAGACAATCAGGTATCTCATTCTATTCATTATGGAGTTTTTGCTTTGGATTTTATAGTAGATATTTTCAGTGTGCTGATTCTTTTGTTTTGACTAAGCAGTTTAGGTTCACAATTCTATGCCATGCTGCTTGTGAGGCTCCCTTAGTACTACCTTTAGGGGGCTATACTTATGGACAGAACTGCTTCTTCCTCGTTAATGATTGGCATGCTGGTCTTGTCCCATTGTATGTGGTAAAACGATGCTTTTTATGATAAAAGTGTCTTTAGTTTATAATGAATTCTCATTGTAGACCCTGATGCACAAATACCATTTTCCCTGGATCCGTTTTACTCGTATAATCTAGGCATCAGGACTATATTTTTAGCTTGCAGGTTTTGACAGTTTCATATGTATTTAACTTGGTTTTGTTTTGAAGTGGATATGACATATTATTTTGAGGTGGATATGACATAGGATGTGTATATTTTTGATAAACTCAACCATATGATTAATTGGCCATTGACTTAATAATTGCTTATAGCTTTTCAACCATGAAAGCCCCTAAATTATTTTGTTGGAATGCTTTTTACACACAAGGGTGGAGGTAATGTGGTCACCATAAACACAGCTTTTCTGTGGTTGATATTGTACTATACTTGAAGTAGAACAAAATCATGAAATTATTTTGAGAACTTGGAAAACATTTAATTTGCTTGACTATAAGTATTATGAGAGTTTTATTAAATTATTAAAATCATTTTGAGTTTTTAAATATATTAACATCATATTTACATTAAAATTAAAAATGAAGTCTATCTCTCCATGCAACATTCGGCCAAATAAGGAAATGATATTTGCATTTTCAAATTTCAATTACTATCATGTATAGGACAAACAAGGAATGTTTGAGAGGTAATTTGCATTTTCAAATTTTATGTTCGGAATTTTTACGGAGAACATTTGAAGCCTCCTAGAATTTTGCCAGATTGCAACAATTTCTATTTTCAAACATGATGGCTTGTGTTGCTTGACCAAGGAGGAAGAACGCAAGTTACCAAGCAATGACTAGTTATTTTATGTTAATTTCCATTCGGCCAAGCATGTTTTCAAGCCATTTGTAATGAATAAAATATTAATGTCATAATTTTTTTTTAATTGTTGGCTTGTTCCTTCCCTCCTTTTTCCTTTATTTTGTAACTGGTATATAAATGGCTCTTTGATCTCATTTTAAATAAAATGGAAATGGTTTTCCTTTAATGACTTTATTTTGTAGTTTAGCTTGTTGGCCCGCTCCTTTGCAAAACTTAGTGATTATTTCATAAAATTATTGTTGGAATTATCTTTTAAGCTGATGAGGACACAACAGGAGATTCTAGCGCGTCTATCACACGAGACATCTCATATCGACGGCCACGATCAGGAGCATCTATTTATGAGTTATTTTATATTATTGTATTAGTATTATTATTATTTGTTTTTGTTTAACCATTATACCCCTATGAGGGAGTTTAGTGAGTTGTTGCCCGGAGGGCATTTTTGTTTTTGAGTTTTCTTTTTTGTAGAGGCCTATATATAGAGGTCTTAGACTTTGTATTGAGGGGATGATTGATGCAATAAAATTTCAGCTTTTGTTCTCTTCTTCTAGTTGAGAGTTCTAGAGAGGAAACCCTATGATAGGGAGTGCATCACCCGTTAGCTGTCGGTGGATTCCGGGCTCGCGGTTCATTCTTTTCTTTTTCCCTAATCTTTGAATCTATCTCCCCTTCATACACCGTCGGCCACCTTTTTCCCCACCCCACCGCCGGCCAAGTTCCTCCAAGTCCCCTCACCCGCCAGCCTCTCCTTAGGCCATCACCACCCATCGTCCACCCTCATCCAAACTCCACTTTACCGCCGACCCACCTAGCCCTCCCCTCTTGCCGCCGGCTAAACCAACCCCAAGCTCTAGCTGCCGGTTCCCTCTTCTCAATTCCCTCCAAAAGGATTACTTTCCTAAACTAATTGTTTCCAATTTAGGAAGGTATTTGAATTTTAAATTCAATTAGAGTTTAATTTCAAATTAATTCCTAATCTCCCTTATCCCTTTTGGAAATTAATTACATCCCCAATCAATTAAAAATCTGATTTGATTGGGATTAATTAAATTAATCCACATACATTGAACCTAAACTCACCCAAACCCCCTCCTTTGGCGTCCCCCCCTTTGCCAAATTCTTCATATATTTTGGGAATTCAAATAAAGGATGTTATAACCTTTTGCCACCTCCCCTCTTGTCTTACATATTCTGCCACTCTATATTATAACTATTTGCTATTTAGAAATCAAAATCAAGTAATTCCTAGAATTCCTCTTTGTGAAGCATTGTTTAATAATTTGCAGAGCTTAAACCACTTTTATTAATTTTTATGCAATTCCTGCTTCATTTTTGTTTCACATCACAAGCACCCTGCATTTGATACAAAATGATGTTATATTGCTCCACATCCTGCCACTCTCTTTATTAATACTTCTAGCACGTGGCAACATGTACTTTTTGCCTAGCATTATCTGAGGTTAGATGAGTGATGTGATATCGCAACATGTGCTGGCAGATAAGCAAGATAGAATAAGGAAACAGCTACAATCGAGTATAGATTTCCAAACTAGTTGAAGCAATTGCTAAATCGAAGCACAGTCAAGCCAGGAGAACACAACTAATAATTGGACTTGAGCTTGGTTATTATGATAGTTAGAGTACAACGGTACTTAATTATAACCAGTTAGCTTGTTTATGCTTGTAATCTCAGCAGACACTATAATTGAAGATTCAAAACAGGTAGGACAGCTTAGAGTAAATTTTCTAGTTCTAAATTCTTTCTTCTTCCCCTATCCTGACATTTCAACTTTTTTTTTTTCCTGATGTTTTGGTAGCTTTAAGTTCCTTTATCCAAACGGATAGCCATTATTGGTGATTTTGTTGATGGAGCCAATAACAGCAACAAATATGACACTCCTCAAATATTGAGACTGTAGATGAAGTATTAAGAGGGTGCGACTAAGTTCTTTAGCAATTCCATCTTAACCTAACTAACACACAGAACGACATGAAGCAGTTGGCTGATAGAAATTGTGTTGAAAAACAGTTTCTTGTTGGTAATTTAAGTATAGTTAAGTTAAAACCTTATAGAAAGACTTCTTTAATTGGTCATCCTTTTCTCAATTGACGCTATTATGGGCCACTCAAGGTATGCATGGTAGCATATAAAATTGAGCTACGGTAAATTGTTAAAGCTCATCATGTTTTTCATCCATGATGCATTGTCTCTTGAAGACTATAAATTGCGTCCAGCAACATTACCAGGACATTTTTATAGCTTGGCATCATTTGGTTAAGCCATTAAAAATGCTTCAGCTTGGAACGGTTACGAAGGCAAACAAAGCAGTTGTCCAAGTTATAACTTAGTGAGATGGATTGCTGGCTGAGATTCCTCTTGGGTATTCGTGAATCAAATACAATCATTGTATCCTGATTTCGACATTGTGGACAAGGTCCTTTTTAATGGTGACTGTAATGATGTGATATTGTAAAATGTGCTGGGAACTAAGCAAAAAAAAATTAAAGAACAACCACACTAAATGAAGGATTTCCAAACTATTTGAAGCAATACATGGTCAACTAAGCAGACCACAGCCAATAATTGGAGCCGAGCTTGAACATGTGAGGTTGTGAGTGAAGTCATGCTCAACTATAATTATTTAGCTTGTTTAAGCACATAACCTCAGCAAACACTATAAATAAAGATTCAAAGCTGGCAGGGAAGCTTAGAGTTAATTTTCCTGTTCTAAATTATTTTTTCATCCTTTTGGTTTTGCTTGAGTTTCGGTAGCTCAAAGTGACTTTTTTTTTAATGAGTACCTATTATTGGTGCTTTCATTGTGAGCACCATTTCTTTCTTTAAATATTTTCGTTCTTCAATAAATTTTGTCATCAAATATTGAGGAAAATAATTTTCTATTGTTATCTTTTTTTTAGTAAAGTTGCTATCATAGAAACGGATTTCATTAATTGGTCATCCTTTTGCTAAGCTGAATCAACATTATTACTTGCCGTTTCATGTCATAAGAAGGTAGGTACAGTAGCATATAAAATTGAGCAACTGGAAGCAGCTACAATTCATCTTGTTTTTCATGCATCTCACCTCAAAAACTCTAAATTGCATGTAGCAGCATTACTAGCACAATTTATATTTGGATGGCTTTTTGTTGTGCCATTAAAAGTGCTTCAACAGAGAATGGTTATGAATGAAAACAAAGCATTAATACAAGTTTTACTTCAATCGGATGGATTATTGACCAATGATGCCTTTTAGGTATTTGTGGATGAATTATAGTCATCATATCCTGATTTTGACCTTGCGGACAAGGTTTCTTTTGATTGTAAGGGTAATGATGCGATATTGCAAAATGTGATGGGAAATAAGCAAGGAAGAAAAAGAAAACAACCGAAATGGATGAAATTTCCAAACTACTTGATGCAGAACTGAAGACGGGCACGGTTAAGCAAGCAGAACACCACTTGTAATTGGAGTTGAGCTTGGAATGTTTGAGGTTGTTATGTCAGTTAGAGTATAGCTGTACTTAACTGTAATTATTTGTCTTGTATAAGCTTGTAACCCCAATGAACACTACAAATAATTGTTAGAGTAAATTTCCATGATCTAAATTCTAAATTCTTTCTTTATCTCCTTTTCGAATCTCTGCTTCTGATTTTCTTGAATTTTTGACAACTTGAAGTGCCTTTATTTGGATGGGTGCTCATAGGAGGATAATTATTTGTTCAAGATAAAAGCTAATATTGTAAATTAATGTCTCTTTATAGATTTTTAACGTTTCTCATCTACCTTTGGTCATATGCAAGTTTGCTTAATTGTGCTATTTTACTTGTTGATTTAATGATTTCCAGCTACTTTATTTGTCAAACTTGTCCAACTTTTTATTTGTCTTGCTCTTCAGGCTTTTGGCCGCAAAATATCGTCCTCATGGTGTTTATAAAGATGCCCGCAGCATTCTTGTCATACACAACTTAGCACATCAGGTATAGTCACATTGTATGCTTTCATCTATAGATGGCATATATATTCTAGCTTAACATTTGACCTACTTCATGCTTTCAATGCAAGGGAGTGGAGCCAGCAGCTACGTACCACAAGTTGGGGTTGCCACCTGATTGGTATGGGGCTGTAGAATGGGTCTTTCCCACATGGGCCAGAACCCATGCACTGGACAAGGGTGAAACTGTAAATATTCTGAAGGGCGCTATTGTCACAGTTGATCGTATAGTTACAGTAAGCCAGGTGAGTTTAGCATATTGTTTTAAAAGGCTTCTCCTATTTAGCTCAACAAAAGATATTTTTTTGGTCTGAATATGTCCAACCGAAATAGATAATTTTGTTATGTTTATATAAATTTGGGCATCTAATGACAGGGTTATGCATGGGAGATAACAACTGGTGAAGGTGGATGCGGCCTTCAAGACTTGTTAAGTAACCGAAAGAGTGTTCTAAATGGTGACTTTTTCTTTCCGTGTGCTCTTTGTTCAGTTGATGGTTTAAGGTAAGGAACATGATTTCATTTGAACTTTTCTTCATTACCAGGAATAACAAATGGTATTGATATTGATGAATGGGATCCAGCTTCTGACAAACACATCCCCTTTCACTACTCTATTGACAATCTCTCCGGAAAAGTGGGTTCACTACTCTGTATGCAAAGTTCTAGTTTTGTATGTTGCTTCATTAATTCTTAATGTCTAATTTACAGACAGCTCTCTACTCATCATGACATCCGATTGCAGGCAAAATGCAAGGCTGCATTGCAGAAGGAACTAGGGTTTGCCATAAGGTCAGAATGCCCAGTGGTTAGTAGAAACTCTTTATTCATATTCTTTTTCTTTAAACACTATTCTTTTAATCTTTGATTTGAATTTATGTCATCGGACTTGCTAGATTGGTTTCATTGGGAGATTGGACTACCAAAAGGGCACTGATCTGATCATGATGGCTATCCCAGAGCTCTTGCAACATGACATCCAATTTGTAAGTCGTTTAAACCCATTAAATCCTAAAGTAGCATCTAACACCTAATTGATTTTCATCCAGCTATGATTCATTTTCTGAAAATAAGAAATACGTGGCCAAAAGTTCATTTCCGATTATATTTTTGTCTCGATTTCAGCCAGAGCCTCATTTTATTAATTACATAGTAGATGATTGAGCAGTCTTGCATTATCAAAGACCTATACTAGTTTATTCGATTTATTATTGAACTTATTTTATCTTCAGTTGTTTCTTTTGCAGCAAAAAGTGTAGGCTACTATAACACACTTGGATAGGTTCCTTGCAAGATGTTATTTACTTAAATCAAGCAGTGGCTAAACTGCTAGCTATCATTCTCATATTCTTAGCAATTTCTAAATGATTCACTTTTGATGGTTCGCTTTATCTTATTCTTTTATATATTGTATATCCTTTAATATTTTGATTTTATAGGTTTCATTGGGCTTTATCAATGACTTGGTAAAGAAATATGCTTGCATACATCCTTGCAGATTATTTCTAGTACTAAGGAAAATATTTAATGGAAGATTATTTGCTAATGATACATCTGTTCCTAATATGTGCTTTACACCAAATAATACTATATTTTTAATAAGGTACTATTTTTATCGGATCTTTTGCTATTTTCTAATTCAATCTTAATTTTCTTAACTGGTAATATTTGCGGTTTATAGGTGTATAATTTGCTGATTTATGTTGACAGAGTTCAAGTAATTTATTCTTGAAGGGAAGATGGCTTTGGGAAATTAGATGGGTGTAATATGATCCTAATTAGTATTCTCTAATGCATTATAAAATCAACACGGAAACCTATGTGCATATTCCTAGTTATTTTTGGATGTCTTGCCATGCTCTAGTTCATCCTCTCTTACAAAAGGGATGTTCAGCTGCAAATTTATCTGCTGACTCAGAGATAAATGGAAAAATTCTTTTATACAGTGTCCGTAAGTTTCATCTAAATTTCTCCAGGCAAACAGTGGGACTTTAAATAGTTTCTCTTGCAACACATGGTAGAATCTCTGAGGTAACATAAATTAAATTCTTTGTTGTATATGCTTCTAATTTCTTCATGAAAGTAGTTTCGTTGTTGAAGTGTTGTTATCCATGTTAACCTCGGTCAATTTGGTTAAGAACTTGGGGATATTGATAATATTGGTCTTGTGATGGAAATATTCTGTGTACTAATGCTTAGGTATGTATTGATGTTGAGGTTCATGATGTATCATTGCAAATATTTTTCTTGTTTAGTGCTCAAAACCAAACTCTAATCACATTTCATTCATATATATATATATATATATATATATATATATATATATGAAATTTCATGAAGATTTTATCATACATCAAGCATAAAAAGTTATACCATGATGGATGGTTTGGACTATTGGGACAAATGATCCATCAATCTCATGATATAGAAATATTTAAATCAACTGAAAATTTATGAGAATGCATTCAAAAACATCTAGAACATTTTTAATGGATTTGACTTCAAAAACATCTAGAACATTTTTTTATAGATTTTACTTCAAAAACATTATGTTGCAGTGCTTTTATTGTGTGCATTTCAAATTTCTTTATATCAAATTTGATTAATGGTCAAATCTTCATAAAATCTTATCATTATTAAATCATCAAATTATTTTGAGATTGTTTGATGCATCACAAAAAATTGCCCAGAGTAGGCACGAATCTCGAGGTATTTTTGAATTAGAAACTTTCAAAATTAAGTTTGGGATCATTCGAACTCCAATCTCAGCAAACTTATAATCAAACTAAATGACTCGACAAGACAAATTCAATGACCCAAAAATTGGTCAAATCCAAGCCTAAATAGGCCCAAAACAATGGCCTAAAGCATATTTGAAAGCTTCAAACCTCTAATTGGATGATCAAATGATATTTGAATATGGCATGCTCATAGTCGAATCGAGCGTCTCAACGAGACGAATTCAACGAGCCCAAGATCGCTTGATTCCGTCACCATTTAGGCAAATAAAAGTTGTACAAAGACTATGATTGAGGGAAACAATGTAGGCCATTCGATGTAACACTTCGAATTTGCTCTAGATCTTCTCCATGTTTACGAAAAATGTCACTCCCAAAAATTTATAAGTCTCTACTCTTTACATGATGGTGCGGGGGCTGAGACCTTGGATTATATATTCAAGAGAGTTTTGTAGCTTGAAGAGTATTGGAGCTCTACCTAAGAATCACCACTGGTGAACCCTCCTTGCCATTGGACTTTCACAAGTCAATCATCATTGGACATACACCTTTACACTGTTGCTAAACCTCAAGTTGGCCGTTTTTGTCAGGCTTCAAACTTGTCACTACTATTAGACCTCTGCTCGACCATCACCATCTAACGTTCGTCCACTGCTATCACTGAGGCTCTGCTTGACCATCGTCGTCTGACTTCCACCTGGCCACCACCATCGGACCTTCTGTCGATTATGGTCCATTTGACATCAGTTGGCCGTCGACTATGGTACTTCCTATCTTCGTCGTCCGACTACGATCCTCATACCACTGTTATGTGACTATGATTCTCGGACCACCAGCACCTTGTTATGCCCAAAGGCGAATTTAGGGCCCCCCCCCAAAAAAAAAAAAAAAAATTCCATATAAAATTAGTCATTCATTGAAGAAAATAAAAAAAAAAGTCACTGTCTCTCTCCTTTCTACTCTCTCTCTATCTATTGCCATTTTTTTACCAGCAACTTTTTGTTATTTTATACTTGTTAGCTTATAGCCCTCTTTCCTCACTCTCTCTCTCTCTCTCTCTCTCTCTCTCTCTCTCTCTCTCTCCTCTCTCTCTCTACCTTTCTCTCTCCCATGAGGGTGATATGATTTTAAATTTTTTAATTTTTGTAACCACTATCTCTCTTATGAGCTTACCTATTTTTTGTTGATTTTTATTAGAATATCTTTAACTTTTTTTTTTCATTTATATTTAACTCTTTATTTATATAACCCTTTTTAATCATTTATCTTCAGATTACTAATTTTCTTAAAATTTAAAATTTCATAAATTTTTTTAATTATTTTAAGTTATCCAAATTCTCTTTTATAATAAATTTATATAATTAAAACCAATAAAATACACTAGAGAAAGATTAAAAAATTTAAATTTAAATCAAGTAGATTAAAATATGCTAATTATAATTTTTTATATATTTTATATTAGTAAGATGCAGCTTTTTTTATATATTTATTGCTCGTTATATTTTTTTATTTAAATTAGATATGAAAATCTTAAGCTAGATATTTAAAAAAATTAAAACTCTAATGTCAATTTCAAGCTTGAATGAAGAAGCTTGACGGTATTTTTTAAATTAAAAATTTGTGACCCGCTGATAAATATTATTGGCTCCGCTAGTACTTATGCCCCATGCAACAAAGAGAATGTAACCATTCGCTTACCAAACTACTATATACCCATTTTGATGCAATCAAAAAAAGTAAAAACTAGAAATTACAAACAAAAATATTTTTTCCATAAAACATAAACAAACAAAATCTTAAAGCTCGACCACTTCAAAGTTACATTAAACATGACACTATAATATCTTACAATTTAAAATAAAACATGACTCAATGACACCTTATAACTTTTCAAGATGTGGATTGGGAATTGTGGAGAGAAGAAGAACATAGAAATCCAAGAAGAATTAATAGAAGAAAGGATAAAGAGGATAACTCGCAAGTTATAACAAACCCGTAGGTTTCACGTTAAAAAAATTCTTCACATATCACTCTCTTTTTAAAGGAAGTTTTTGATTGCAATTTTTAGTTTTGACTTTTTTTTTATTGCATCAATTTGGTATCAGAGCATTAGGTTGTTGTGTGTGTGTCTACCTTTCTATTTTAAAATTTAAAGCATTTGGTTGTCGTGTGTGTACCTTCTTTTCTGTTTTAAAATTAAAAAAAATAGACAACCAAAACAATCAGCAATATGAAGATCCCATTAAGAAGTATTTGAGCCTACAGTCTTTGAAAGTCAGCCAACTATTCATTGAATTCTAGAGGATAACTTCCCAACAATAGAGAGGGTACCACTTCAAGCAAGTTCTACGGACCAACTACAGAGCAAACTTCTCAAAATGCGAAGACAACATTATTGATGTGCTGGAGATGAAAATAAAAAATGTCTACCTCAATCAGAGTTTGAACAAGAAAAGTGAAGATCTGAAGGAAGTATGATACACTAATACAGGAAACTAAGAAGGAATATTTTCATGCTAAAAAGATGGAGAATCTAGAAAAAATTTTAAATTTTTTTTTGCATAAAGTTGCTAATGATGGAGAACCAACTGATCCTATGTATATAGAGTCTATGCTACTTTTTGTTCTAATTCACGTATAAGATGTCATATATATTCGTACTATCCAAACAAGACAAGGAGTGCACTATCGATTCTTAATTAAATGGAGTTAACGTCCTTTGTCCGATTGTTCTTGGATTGGGGCTGTGGAGTTGCAACGTCGTTGTCCAGATATTTTTTAATTTGTTACTGAGGTATTCTCATCATGAGATGAGGTTCTTCCATCAAGGGAGAATTGATGCACTCAAAGCTAGTTTTTTATATTTTATATTTTTTGCTTCCTCGATGGCTAAGTGGGTATTTAAAATTGGGCTATTGTTTCCTTAATGGGCTTCGCCCTGTTGGCTGGCTACTTTGTGATTCCCATGCAGATTTCAGTTTTCTTTGATTGCTGATTTTCCAAGCAGATATCCTGCTTCTAGCTGATTCAGATTCCCTGCTGTTTGGTGTTACCCATGCAATATTCAATGATGGTTGGTTCTCCATGCAGATTTCGATTTTCTTGGGCTTTGGTTTCCTGTGATGGTTGTTCAATTCCCCTAGCTGTTTCCTAGACTAATGTTTTATCTTCTCAAGAAGTTGCTTCTATTGGCTACTTGGGGTGGCACATTTATGTATGCATTTGGATCTTTTTCCCCTATAAATAGGATTGATTTGCTGTTGGATGAGCATGATTGGTGATAAATTTTTGGACACTATAACCTGCAGGTTATTTAGTTTGCGAGCTATCTTCCACTTCTTTACTTCTTCTATTTCGTCTCGGTCTTCTAAAGGAAGTTTTTGTTTGCAATTTCTAGTTTTGACTTTTTTAGATTGCATCAATTTGGTATCTGTGCCTAGGTTGTCGTGTGTGTCTCTCTTTCTTTTTATTAAAAATTATAAAAAAATGAATAATCAAAATAATCAACAAGTGTATTGGCAATAAATGATTATGCAACAAATGGCCAACCTAAAACAACAAATGGAAGTAATGGCTAATACTCTAGCTGCTCTAAATCTAAACAACACTCATGCACAAAACAATGAAAGTGAAGTTGAAGTACCATGAAACCAAAATAGAAATAATTGACAATGGGATCATAGGATTAAAATTGACGTTTGTGAATTTGAAAGAAAACTACAACCTGAATAATTCCTTGAATAGGTAGAGAAAATATATCATTTTTTTAATGGAAAGAAATCTCTGAAAATAAAAATGTTAGGTTTACTAGTTTAAAGCTGACGGGTCATGCATTAACTTAGTGTAAAAATATTCAAAATAACAAAATAAAGAGAGGGAAAGAGAAAACTTAAATATGGGAAAGAATGAAAGAAAAAAATGAGAGGAAAATTATTGC